TCACTGATGAAGAAGATGTACAAGAAGATGCTGAATCTCTTCCTTTGCAACTCTTCCAAAGGACATCATCTCCTCATCAGGTAACCAATTTTCATTTCCATAGCTCTTCAACCCCTACCCTTCCGGATGAGATACCGGAAATCTGGACAAAGAAGGTCCAAGGGCTGATTGAATCAGCCCTAGCATCTCAACATGCCTCCTTTAGGCAAGAGATAGAGCTAATGGAAGCCAAACACACTCAGCTGATAGAGAAATCTGAAGAGAAACACAGCGCTGATCTCAAGGAGATAAGTAAATCAGTAGAAAAGACTCTAGAGATCATCTCTCTATTGAGTAAAACTGTGAGCAATACGATGGAAATATACACCTCTGACAGTCAACTGCAATTCAATGAATTCAACAAAGTCAAGGAGCAAATAGCAAATGTCACAGTTGGTCTACAAAAACAGATGTCCCTTCTCCAAATGGACATCATATCAGCCCTAGCAATAGCTTCAGCAAACCAGGTAGTAATCAAAGACTACTTGAAGGTGATCATTGACAATCAAAAGGAAGCATACAAGCTGTTCAGACTTATTGGTGCACATACTGGGAACCGCAAGATGGAAGTGATTCTCCAACAACACAACCCATCTCTAATACCACAGCTCCCTATTGCAGTCAACGAATAAGAAGCATCTTATATCCCTTCTCATCTGAACATGACAAATTTGATCCTTGAAGCACAGCAACGAAATCCGGAAAACTCAACACAGCACCTATCCAACTCAGGACTGGATGGAACAGAATTTATAGGTGCAGTCGTTGACCACTTCTCAGATGCTGCTCAATCAGAGGAAAGGCGTGCAAATTTAAAGCGCATCAAAGAACTGTGTGGGAATATGCAAGGCATCAGTAAGGTTGCCGGATCTTCAAAACGCAAAAGGAACTGAAGGTTCTTTTCATCAAACCAGGGGGAAAGTATGTGAAAATGTGAAAACACCAATTTGTTTTGATGAAAACACCTTCCTGTTTAAACATTGCTTGATTGGTTTAAACGTTGCAACACTGCTTCAACAATTTTTAATTGCGCTTATTATGCTTGATTATGTTTATCTCAAGTATGATTTTGTCTTAATTAATTTTTCTGAAGCGCATACATTCAGGGGGAATGTAATTCAGAGGGAACTTAACTAGTTTTGGCTAACAATTGTTTTTGGCTATGAATTATTGATGAGCTCTAAGCAATGGAAGTCGGATATCTCAGTTTTGGTACTAAAATTGGAAATCTCCGATTCAGGTACTTTACAAAATCTGTCTTCTTAAACTAAGCTTTAATCTTTATTTTATTTTCAACTAGCTCTTAAAGTACTGGCCCTTAGGATTTTTATAATGTACAGGACTTTGGAAAAATAGTACCACTTTTCTTTTAAAAATAAAAATTCATATTTGTTTTGGTACTACCTCGTCCTATTTTAGAAATTAGAACTATAGGGAATGAAAAATGATAATTTTATTTTGGGCCTTGAGAACCCAATAGGAATAATTTCCCTTTAGTACATAGCTTTCTTTTCTTTTTGGGCCACTCTTTTGGGCTTAACCAAACTAAAACAGTTGCGTTTCTCAAACCAAATGAAACTGATTTTCTAATTGGAACAGTTTCAATCCATTCGTAACTGGTAAAAGATTCCTTTTACTTTTCAACTTCTTGGAAGTTGAAACTCCTTTACTCTCACCGTTCCAACTACCCACTTAATGGAACCCGTGAACCTCCTCCTCCCCTATTTAAATCAAGATATCCCAATCCATTTCCATCACAAACAACTCTCTAAATATGAAAGTCTTCAAGTTCACTGTCTGAGAAAAACACCAAGAAAATATCCTCAATGGAGAAATTTCTCTTTCTCACCCTCATAGACGGCAATGGAGAAAAGCCTAGTGAGAAAGAAAGTAATTCAAAGTTTATGGTGCAATTCTCGGCAGTAGAGAAAGTTTATGGTGTAATTCTCGTATTTTTCAGGATTATACCATACACTTTCTCTGGAACAACACTCTCTCTATTTTTT